CAAGGGAGGCGATCACAGGACTCTGAAGAACATAAGAGCCTAAGATGAGAAAATTCCTGAAACATAAATAAATATACACTTAAAGAAACTTTCTTGAAACATTTGTAATTTGGGACGTTGGACTGAGAGTGTCATTGTTGGCTTTATGAATAAGACGTCATCTGGAAGCCTATGGAAATCTTGGTTTGTTTGCTACTAAAGCCTATGGGAATCTTGGTTTGTTCGCTACTAAGACCACTAGCTGGTAACTTTGAAAAGATATGAATGTGAAAGAGTTTTCTTTGTCTTGCCCCTTCAAAAATGGTATAAAAGCTCTGTATTAACTAGCATTAAATTGTCATCTGTTCAAGAAGCAGGTGTCCGGTATATGATCGTCGTTCCCTATCCGTCTCTCCTTCAACACTTCCCACGACCCTTGCGGGGCAGGCCCCTGCACAGAGTGAGACTCCAACTCAAAAAAAAAAAAAAAAAAAATCGGCGGGGCTCGGTGGCTTAGCCTATAATCCAGCGCCTTGGGAAGCTGAGGTGAGTGGATTGCCTGAGCCCGCGAGTCCCAGACCCGCCTGGGCAACTTGGTGAGACCTCATCTCTAAATCAAAATAAAAAAAAAAAGATTAGCCAGGCGTGGTAGCGCGCACTTGCAGTTCCAGCTACTCGGAAGGCTGAGGCAGGAGGATCGCCGGAGCCCAGCAGGTCGAGGCTGCGGTGGCCGGGAGCAGCCACTGCACCCCAGTCTGCGCGACAGAGTGAGACTCCAAATCAAAAAAAAAAAAAAAAAATCATCTACAGATCTACAGCCTAGGCAACATACTGAGACCTCATCTCTTCAAAAAAATTAATCCCGCGCATGGGGGTGCCCACCTTCTCTGGAGGCTGAGGTGGAAGGAACACCTGAGCCCAGAAGTTTGAGGCCGTAGTGTGAACCCTCATCATGCAGCCTGGACGACAGAGTGAGACCCCAACTCAAAATATAAATAAGGAGGGAGAAAAAGAGAGAGAGAAACAGAGAGAAAGAAAGGACATCTAATCCAGACCTGACTTTCTACTGCAGCAGAGGTCTAGAGAGGTAAAGTTGACATTCCAGCTATTCAGAAAGTAGTGCTGGAACAAGACCAGTGCCAGCTCATTGTTCCCATTGCCAGCTGAAGTCAGGGAGGGAAGGGAGGGATTCCAGCAGATGCCGATCTCTCCCTGCTCATGCCCTGGTTTAAGCTCTTTGGGGTTCCCTTTTTCTGTCTTGCCAGAGACAGTCCTGGGTCCTCAAGTAGCTTCCAAGGCCCGGTGAAGTCCCTTCGCTCCTCGGTCCTCACCCCGTTCTGTGCGGTCAACACTCCAACCTCAGTGTATTTG